TACTGTATAAGCATGCTGAAATGCTAGAAGTGCATATCTTCTGAAATATGGAACCTTCAAATATAAGTTCCAAACATGAATCATAGAGCTATGCACAAAAAATTGAAATTATATGTTCTCAAAATGAAACAATAAGCTAACCAAGATTCGATTGGGCTAAATTAAGAAGTGACTTGCATGACACATTCAAATTCACGATGTAGGAGGGATGAAATTAGTGGACAAGAAGATCCAAAATGACTAGAGAAAATTAATGGTCTTATTTTCCTTTCTCAATTTGGTTGGCGGATTCAAAATTGGACAGTAATAAGATGAACTCATATTATAGATGATTGACAGTCACTAAAATGTACATTCACAAATTAACGGCAGGTTCTGTAACGTGTTTGTATATACTGATGGGCTAGTATGACAAAGGAACATATGTTGAGCATATTCTTTTTACTCTAATTGCTGATAAAGAATAAACAGGAGCAAGTAGACCTATTTGATCTCTCAGCCTGGATTTTTCAAGATATATACATAAGAGTTCAGAAAGTAGATAAGATGATTTTGTAGCACAGAAATTTCAAATGAGCCAAAATAGATGTCTTACTCTCAAGGGAACTTTGAGGGTCTTCCTTTCAATTGTAGTAAACACAAATGTGAGCCTTGCAAGAGTAAATTAGCAGCTCTATTTAACATACTGATAACTGTATGCATCCTCAGGGAAAATAAACAGGGAGAGCATACCCAGCATTAACAGAGTAGTCAAACAGAGTCCAAGTCAATTAATAATAACTGGTAAGCACCTCTTTGGCTTCTTCCAAAAGTTCTTGTCCCAGCTTCTTTAGAAGGAGAACGGTCTTTGGCCTGGATTTCCATTTAAGCATTTGTGGCTGGGTGCTAGGATCAGTGAAGGCCAAGGAAGATTCTGCCTTCTTTCTGGACTGCACTCTTACTACACCAGTTGAGGACGTGCACATATTTCCTTCGATTAGCTCCATGTTAGCATCAACTGAAGGTTTGGGGGCCTGAATGTTCTCCCTAGCTTCAGGAATTTGTCTAAGAAGTTCCCCAGAAGAAGTTTTGTTGTTTGATCTTGTCGGTAGTGTCCTTTCATGATCAGTCACATAAACACCTTCATAAGTAAGAGTTTCATTTTCTTCTGAGTTAGGTAGAGAGCCTACCGCCTGCGTTCCACTACTACCACACAATGGATTCCCACTGGAGGGGACATTCTTATTCGCATTAGGCACAATGTGTGGTGTGTATAGAGTCATGTATTGTCTCCATTTAGAGACCATAACTGATGTCCTCCAAACTCCTTCCCTGCTGTGGAGATAAATGGGTTTGCTGTATACATCAGAGACCATTGCTGCGAACTTCTCAACCTGCTGCACTGAAGGTGTTGTGCCAACTTCAACAGGAAGTTTAAGAACTTCAATATCTCCAGAGAAAATGGCTTCATCCAGAACTTTTTCATAGAAGTTGTCCTTTATGGTCTCAGCTCTGAGATCTATAATAGTTTTGAACCCTCTCTCCAACAGCCATCTAAGACCTTCTTCAGTTACCTGGCCACCTCTCCAAAAAGCAACCTCAGAACTTGCAGACTCTGTCACTTCTTCCGATGAAAAATGAACAGGATCCCAGTTAGCAAACAATGCATGGCAGGGATGATCATCTCCACGGGAAAATCCAGAATCATAACATACATTCTTCAGCCTTTGCAGCTTTCTCCATACAGCAATGCTCCTAGGATCATCAGGTGTTAAAAAGTTTTCAAGAGCAACATGCAAGCTCTCACAATACCTCTTCATTTCACCTCTGAAAAAAGCTAGTGGAGGAAGCTCATCATCCATTTCATGCTCATCAAAATCACTACATATGTTGATTATCAAGGATCTCCTTGATAGGACATCCTCCCTCCCTTTGTTGAGAAGACATACCATGCATCCTAGAACAGAAGCTATTTTGTCCTCCAGTAAATGTTTATCTTCTGAGGGCACATCATATGAGATACAACATTCACCAGTCACTGGATTGCATAGTGTGTCCATTAATGTGTTATGAAGTTGTTCGGCAGCTCGAAGGATTCTACAATATGCTTCTATCTCAGCAATGTCCCCAGGTAGAGGGCCAATCCAGGGTAACTTTGATATACCACGGGGCTGAGGAGTACAAATTTCAGGAAAACAGTTAGCTAACTCATGAAGTTCAAACCAACAACTATTCAAGTAGACAGAAATTATTTAGAACTTTATGATACCCCTAGTATACAGGATAGTCCCTTCTTTTATCAATTAGGTTATTTATATCGCAAAATAAAAATAAAAATAAAAACTGAGCAGAAACCATCCGGGATCACAACTTATCAAAAAAAAGATAAAAAATAAACCATCCCCGATCAGTAAATAAACAATGATAAAAAGAAAGCAAAAACATAAAAATGCTGAACTAATTAGAAACAAAAATGAGAGGTAACAACAACAATAACATAGTTGAAAGATGTGTGTGCAAACGTTGATTTTGCTTAAGAAATAAAATAATCAACTAAGTTGCTGCAAACAAGAAACACTTGGCTTTTATATCAGTCTATACAAGACACACCAAAATAATGAAACAGGCAATAAGCCACATTATTGTGGGGGGGAAGAAAATAGCTAGAGACCCAAGCCCATCATTTTTGTGTTTCATCCACTATATGCAATCCACGGAAAAAAGAGCATTGGTTGGTAATTAGATTCAATATAGATAGGAAGGAACACATACTAATACACACATTCCTACTTCTGCTTAGAGTTCATCTCTCTCTTCTTTTACTTCCTATTCGAGGACACATTAAGGTTCAACCTTGGTATATCTTACATGAAGTGAACTGAAAGATAATTTCAAGTCTCTCATTTGAAGACTTATCAGCCTGTAAAATGACTAGTAGATTTCAAGCAAGAAATGCAGGATGAAAGGTAAGCTTCCAATACCAACCCTTTCTATCACCGTCAATGCAGCCAGCTAACAACAACATATCCAATATAGTCACAAGTGGGGTCTGGGGAGGAAGGGTAGAGTGTATGCAAACCTTACCCTTCTACCTTGTCAGGTAGAGAGGTTCCAATAGACCCTCGGCTCAAAGAAAGTAAGACATAACATTTATTCATAAGCAGCAACAATAGCACGATAGTAAGAAAATAGAGGGCATACAAGACAAAAGTAGTACTAGAAAACTAAGAGTGAGAAATACGGAAATAGTAAAACAATACTAATAGTTCTAGCCGGAGAGACCAGATGCAAAACTATTTAATACTAGCCTTCCACCCGAATACCCAACCCTCCACACCCTCCTATAAAAAATCATTTTATGAAGAGTCATATCCTCACAACCAGCTAATTAACAAAATAACAGGGCAAAATATCCAAAGCTTTAAATGACAGAAATCAAACTTGAATTACAGGGGAATAAGTGGGAGTTGACTACATTTCTGTTTTCACAACTAATTCTCTCCACAACTTTATAGATATTGATTAATTAAAGCAAAAACACGAACACCAACCTGAGAATCCAAGCCAATGTTAACAGAGAACGCATTGGAGAGATCAGCACCGACAACAAGCTTCCTTGTTTGCCTTTCAACAGAATTGAGGTTCCTCCGCAACACAGACCCATATGAATATGAAGAACCAATTCCAAACCTTGAAATCTTTCCACATCTTAGCTGACGAAGATGAATTACCGCTGTCCGACCTATACCAAACCGGTATGGACAATACGCTGCCATTCAGGGGGGAAAACTAACTACTAAACTCCAATTCTTCACCAGAAAAATCACTACAACAAATCAATAACTTTGGTATCTCGATATCTGGGTTAGTATAATCCAAATTTGAATTTCAAGATTCTTCGTATCGATTACTTGAAGTCGAAATTCTTATAGTGTTGCTTATCTCAACAACAAACAAAGGATCATTTCAACAATACCCGGATTTTGAGTTCGTGTCTAATTATCAAAAATTTCAAGCTTCAATTTGAAGTGTTGATTATGGAGTTTGAAGCTGTATGTATGGGGGCGGGAAAAGAGGAAAAATGGTAAATGTGATTGAAATGAAAATAACTAACTTGATTTGTGCGGCGGAGTGTTAACTATTTTTTGGAGTGTCGTAGTTAAAAAGTATTTTATTTTAGATTATTTTGGCGCGAAACTAAATTTAATTGAACTTACAAGATCATGAAAATTGTATTAATTTGATTTTTCATTTTTTATTTTTTTCAAAGAGGAAAATTAAGTTGAAATTATATTAGGACATGCTTTCCAATTTTAAGATACAAAAATTTAGGATTTTAATTTTTAAATAATAAAAAATTGTTTTAAAAAAATAAAAGTATCATCAAACAGGTCATATAATGTATTACCTTTCTGAAAAAAGCAAATATAGAAGTTATTATCATATCTCTTATAGTCATATGAGCAAGGGGTGGAGGTAAGTCTCGAGGTTTGGGTGAAAATTCTAGCTTTATCGCTACCAATACTTTAAATATATGGTAGTTATGTCCTCACTACATAAGACCAAACAAGAATGTACTAGAAACCAATATCGATTGTGGTGTGCAGTGGTAAAACCGTTCCACCCTCAATTAGAAATTTCAAGTTCGAATATTAGATATAGAGAAAATTATATGTCAACTACAAATAGACGCTATAGTACACCATCCAGATTTAATTGGAACTGCATAGATTCTGAACGTCGTCTGAGAAATCAAACGAAAAAGAATGAACTAGAAAAGAAGTAAACACACAGTAGGATCCCAGTGGTATAAGCAAAACGTTAAATGAACAATATCGTACTCAGTGTCATCACACAAGTAGAATATGGAGAGGGATAGTATATACGGAGACCTTAACCCCTAACTTGAGAGGTAGAAAGGTGATTTCGGCGACCCTCACCTCAAAATTAAATATTAAATGAAAGCTCCCTTTTTAGAATAATATAGTAAAACAAATTATATAAGAGGTGAACACACGGTAGGATCCAAGTGTTCTAACTTCGAACAACTGTAGAGAACTCAATTTTTTTCCTTTTCATGACATCTCTTTCTCAAAAAAGAAGAAAAAAAAAACTACTCAATTCTCTGGTTACAGGAACCGTATGCCAAACATTACAATAAATATTATGCTCCTACAGCAGTCCCTGTTTATGAAGTTTGGAAGTCTTTTCTGAAGAAGACGAAGAAGAAGGAATTTAGACGCTAGCATTTCAACTGCAGATTATATGTTCTACATGCCTATAGCATTTTAGGATGAAACTCTTTCAGCAGTACGTCAAGAAGAAAAGGAAATAATGTCTAGCGCCTTGTGGTGCAGCAACTTCAACTGGGAAAAGTTCCCTTTCTGTGAATCCTCACTGAAATAAGAAAAAATGATTTCATAGTAAAACATGCAGCAACCAAATTCAATCTGACAATGTCAAGACTTGTCTGGGGTTGGATGGGTTGGTGGGTGAACTTACTTTAAAGTTAAATATAACACAATGGCTTAAATTCTTCAATCAGCATCACCCAGTCCATCACTACCATCACCTCTCTTGGATATAGGGGTCAGAATCGACTTAGTATTTTTCCTTTGAGAAGCAATTTCAGCATTTTTACGCAAGACTGCTCCAGGAGATGGATAAGGGCGCTGCTGAAAGAGAGGACCCTGAAATTTGAAGAACCGGAAAGATATCATTTTAAGTTAAAAGGCATACAAGGAATAAAAGCATATTTATAAAGCAGGAAATTGGATATAAGGAAGCGACTGATGTCTGCAACAGAAGGATGAAACCTTATAAAGAGAGCCATGAGTGTTTTCCATACCATGGCAATAAAGATAAACCAAATCAAGATTAGTGCAAATGGCAATATCAATGAGTTAACTTTACTTTTGAACAGAATTTTCCACGTGATTCTGTTTTTAGCCAATGGCACTCAAAGATATAAATACTTCGACAATGAAACGTTACTAATTGACAACTGATAGCATGCTCTCCACACATCAAATATGTATCCTTATCCAATACTTCTTATAGACACACATGGACGAAGTTCTCAAGAAACTGCAAACAGAGAAATTCTGTTACGAGTATCTTTTTTCTGCATTCCTTGTAATTTGATCGATTTAGTGTTGACGGAACACCTAAAAGAAATTACAAAGAAATATGATCCCTCATCAAAAGTTTTGAATTCCTAATATTATATACTCCCCCTGTTCCTATTTATGTCGTCCTTAAAATGTTCCTTAATATTTTTCATTTCACAAAACTTATGCATCAATTACACTATTCTTCCTATTTTGCCTCGAGAGTTATTAGCCTTGAAAGTATGTATTTGACCATAGGAAAACTAAGTAATTAATTCGATAAAGTATATCCCAGTACACACGGTATCATAGTGGAATTCTTCTGTTTGCAGGCTACAATCTTGTAGGTCTTACTTTTTCCCTTTACTTTCTCTGTGGAAGTCAGGTTACATTCTTTTTGGAGCCTCTAGAAGTTTATGTATTAAAAGGGTGTATCACCATCTCTTGTGATGAAATAAAAATGTTTTCTTAAAAATGAACACAATATTAGAAGTTAAGACAAGTTAAGCCTTACTAATTAACTTGAAAAGCAGTCAACATACCGTTGCAGTGGTATCTGCTGCCCGTGGTTGCACTCCTTTGAGACCTACAACCCTAGAGAGTCAGCAATAAAAGAAACTCTCAGTTAATAACTTCAGAACTTCTAAAATCTGCAAAATGCACAACCATGCAAGTGGACACAAGCAGCAGAGGGCAACAGCCTTCGAATACGCACCAACCACCCCTAGGAGCATCCGAATAAGAGCTTGGATCCATAGGATCCAATTCATCATCCTCATCATTTGTGCGTTTCCGTTTGTCTTTTTTGTTGCTTTTACTCATTGGTGGTTTGAAACTAGACCTGCAGTCCAAATGATCAGATAATTGACTTTTGAAAATTGAAAAGATTCTCCTTTCATTTTGCCTCCTTGATCTATATGCATGAACTTAGTTAAATAGAATTCTCAATTAGTTTCATTAGTGTAGTGAACAGTTTCCCCTTAGCTAGTCTCAGTGGTAGTTAATTACTAATACTTTATTTAATTTTTTCTCCTTATTTTTTCACTCCTCCCTCTGAGCTCCACCTTTTTTCTCCATTGGTGACATCATCTATGTTATTCATCATTTACCTGACAAACTGCTTACCCATAGTGGTAATAAAACAAGTATGAAAATTCAGCATGATAAACAAGAGCAGCTAGTTTTCAAGGAAAATTACTTCCACTGTCATCTATATCTACTGTATTTCACCAATATAAGTTCCAAAATAGTAATAAGGCAGAATGTAAAGATAAAAACATTTATTAATTTATTGTTTAGAAGGACAAAGAATTTAGTTCATTCACCAACTGGCATGATGATGCATCACTACTAAAGTGCAAAACTAACATACATGGATTCCATATGACAAAAATAAAGCATCGCTATCATAGTCCATAGACAAAAAAGACTAATGCAACATCAAGGACTGGATTCATAGTGGGATGCACACATATCTGGAAGACTGTCAGAAACTAATGAGACACCAACTATGCAGAATCAGGATGTGATGCGTAACTTTAATATCCTCTGGCTTAGTTCCTATCAGTTCCTCTCAAACAAACAAGTTGGGAAGAAAGAGGGATAAGGAGAGGCTTAATAATAGCAAACAGAACCAAGAATTGCATGGGTTCTCTTTAAACAACATCTTAGTGTACCAGCAAAGCTGAATAAAATTATAGAGATATGATCTGTGAATAGAAGGCATACCTCTGCCTCTGAAACTTTTTTTCAGAGTCTTCTGTGACACCTGCATCCCCAGAAGTTTGTTGTTGTCTCTCCACATTTGCTGACACATACTGGCTTTGAGGAAGATTGAGAACTCTGCATTCAGAACGATATCAATGTTCAGACGAATGATGCATCCTAGATAATTATGATCATTGAATTGAGCAAACTACTACTTCAAATGCTTAGCAATGAGCCAAGGAATGCTTTAATTTATTTAGTTAAGATCTACAAGCCCTCTCAAATGTGGTCTAATTCTAGGAATTCTTGGAAAGTAGTGATTTTCTTACTTAATTTCTAGTGTTTGTTAAGTAAGCAGAAAAAATTTATTTCAGAAGCATTTATATAAAATCTAGGAAAATACTATGGAGGTGGAGGTAGGGAGTAGGAGTGTGGGGGTGGTGGAGGTGAGAGGCTATGGGGGTTGGAGTCCGATTTGGTGAGTCAGGGGATGGGGAGGACAGTGTTGTGAAAGGCGATCGCCTCGTCGCCAATGGCAAGAGGCAAGGCGAGGCGACCCTTCATCGCCTTTTAGCTTTGTGGCGAGGCGATCTTCAAAAGGTGACGCTATGACGACAAAAGGCTAGAGGCAAGGGGCGAGAAAGGCTAGAAAGGTGTCGCCTTTTGTATTTTCTTAAAAAAAAGGCGACCAATCTAGGGTTTTAAAAGTTAAAAGGTAATCTTAGGATTTTTTACAAGACTCCTCCGGCAACTAGCCAGGCTTTTCCGGTGACTCCAAAGTCTAACCAATACATATTTCTTCTTTTTTTGAGAAAGTTAACATAATACATATTTCTTCTTTTCTTCTTCAGACTTGAGTCACTTCTACCTTTGTTTTGACTTTTGTTCTTTTCTTTCTCATTCAAGTTCTAGACTTTTAGTATGTACTATCTATTTTTACTTTTTGAATTGAAAAAATTGTTAATATGTTATTGTTTGATTATTTACATATGCAATTAAATATTTTAATTTTTTGGTATTAAAGGGTGCCGCACTTCAAAAAAGGCGAGCGCCTCGCCGTTCGCCTCGCCTCGTGGCGAGGCAGACCCTTGTCGCCTTTTATCGCCTTTCGACGTCCAAAACACTAGGGAGGATTGAATTGCCACATATGGAACTTGTTGTGTTATCAAGGAATAATTTCATTTTAATAAAAGGGAAAAAAATCATGTATACAAGTAGTTTACCAAAAAAGAGAGCCAAAAAAAATGGTTCTCCAATATGTCCACCCATTCATGTACAAATGGGAATCTCATGGGTACACTAAACATTAAATAGGAAAAAGGCTAATCAGCAAATATACAAAATCATGTTCAACTCCTTCAAAATTTCTTCTATTTCTTTCTCGCCACACTACTCACATAAGAGCTAATGGAGCAACATCCCCTGTTTTGGGCCTTCCCTTCCATCTTCTAGCCCAACTAAACAAAGTTCATGTTAACTCTCCAGCATAATCTGCAGGAATTCAAACCATCTCAGATCACCCACTCTAACCTTGAAGCAATCTGACAATGTAGTAGAAGGTGATCCACATCCTTTTCTGGTTTTTTGCACAAAAAGCACCAACAAAGGTGAACCTTCTTTTCCTCGGATTCTCAGTTGTCAAAAACTCAAAATTGCTCTTCTAGTTGCCAGCCATATGAAGAAACATTCTTTTCTTAGTGCCCTTCAAATTCAAACTGCATCATGCTGCCATCTCATCTCCTGCGAGAATCTAGGCATAATTACACTTTACTGAGAAACAACCACCATTGCCTAGCTCCTGCCTCCCACCTACAAGAATCCTGAATTTCTAAGGGTAGAGTTTGTTTGTAGGCATCTCAAGCAAGTTTTGCAATTCTTCCATCTCCGAATCATGAAATTTCTACCAACTCAAGATCCTCAGCCTTTCAAGATATTTCTCCACAGCTTGCACCCAAAAGGAGCAGTACTGTTTGTAACTTTCCACCCCCACCCCTTCCATAAATCCATGTGTCCGCTATCACCTATCTCATAGGGCATGTTACTTTGCTCCTCTGCTTTCCCTGCCCTACTTCCACTGTCATTTACCACACTTTTAAAGAATTTGTTTTCCTAGGGACACTAATTTCCAAAACATTGACCAACAAAGCTGCTGGTATTTTTTCCCACAGATAGGGGGTTGAAGCAGGGTGATCCTATTTCTCCTTTCCACTGTCATTCCACTCCTTTCCTGGATACTCAAATTTTTACATCAAAACCGAGAACACTAAACTCAAAGAACCCTTCTAAGTCAACTGCATGTGGTAAATGTTGGACTGCACATATAGACAGTGCAGTGAATTGACAAGTAAATAAGGGGCAAAAACAAGAAAACCCTAAAAGTTGCACTATAAGTTTAAGTTCCATTGGAAATCTTACTCGAGCAAAAGTACTCATATGCAGTAGCATTAAACGGAAACAAAGGCGAGACAAATAAACACAAAAATGTCAAAAGGAAAAATATATGCAAAGACAACATACCGAGTGCAATGTTTGCAGTAACCCCATGACTGTACAAGCCCCACACCCCATCCCCCACATTCAATGCATCTCTGGAATGTGGAAGCTTGGTCAACCCAAGTTACATTAGTTGCATTGTTGGTGACTGTTCCATCATGGTGCTGAATGGCAACCTGCTGTGGTTTAGAAGGATGTTCCCATTGTGATACATTAGTCTGTGAGTTATAGTAATATTTTTGACCTGCAAACAGTTTAAATAATAGAAAACACAGGCTCAATATGACATAAAAAGTGAAGAGCTCAAGCAACTAAATTTGCTACCGACAACAATCAAAACTGTGACCAGCTAAGTCTAATACCTTAGATAAGATCCTCTTAGTTCATTTTCTAGCAGCAAAGGAATGCAATGAATTACTAGTTACACTCCTCATCAGTTCAAAAGGAGAATGAAAAAGAGACATGTCAAACCAATGATGCACAGGGATGAGGGATCCCAGTCGCAGTAAATGCATGCCTAGTTGGCAACTAAAAAATGGAGAAGCCACACTATGATAAAGAAGGAATGTAACAGGACCTATGGATTTAGGCGTTCGGAAAATCAGCATGGGCTCATTCCAAGCAGTACTGCACCTTCTGCTATTTTTTATTTATAAAACACAGCTTTTACCTTAATATATCAGGATATAATTACAGCAAAGAGGGGGGGGGGGGGGGGGGGGGGAATTTAGAAAAAGGAAAGAAGAATATCAAGATGACAGCAGTAGGTCACCAAAGGTTGAACCAAATTTATCAATATGTGTTTTTCATTTGCGTCTCGTGCTCTGAGAAACATTGTACTTTACATTCAAGTGTTTAAGGGTTATCACAACTTTAGTCCCCAGATTTACAATTAAAGCACTTCAGGACCTTTTGGTTTTTACTTACCTAAGAAGAAAAAATAGGGTTGTGATTGGTCTAGAATCAGTCAGTTATATTTCCAAGTCTTTCCATTCAGGTCAAAGAGCTTCGAACTTACAAATATTGTTCTCTGTACCAATATGACACTTTTATTGGGTAACTAATAATTTCATTTGCCATAACCTACAAATGAATGACCAGTTGGGTCTGGTCGGTCAGGAGAAGTTAATGATTGTTGTTCCTGGCTTGGGCGCAGAACTATTCTTGAATAGTTCTCCACTTGAGTTGCATGCTTTCAAGCAATCAGTGCCTCATTTGTTAGCAGCAATAAATGATTCTCTCTCTTTCTTCAGATCCTTTGATATTATTTACTTTTTCACAATCATTGTGCGTTAAGAACTTCCCAATGTATAAAATAAAGGTAGTTCAGGAAAATTACCCTAGCATTTATCTGTAAGCCTGAGTCACCCTCCTTCCTTATTGCTATTTTTTTTTCTTTTTACATTTAAAGGTCCTACATTTATCAACGACGAAATATTACCATAGTCTCCCCTATTTTACTATTTTTGAGAATGGTCAAGTAGTTTCTCCTTTTTACTTTTTATCTTTACTGAAAATGGCATTTTTAAAAAAATTATGTAGCCTGATAACAAAAGAAAATATCCCAGGGAAGCCAAAATCTTTTGAGAATAGTGACATCAGGATTCACATTAAAAAGGATCAGCCTACAAATGAAAAAATAAATGAATGTTCAAAAATAAAAACTATTTAAATCAATTCTTTCTGATTTAAAAGTTCCGAGTGTTCTAATTTAATCTTCTCCATCCACAAATAACATGAAGCAAGTAAACAGCTAGAGCATACCAGTTGATTCATCAAGAACCTCCTGCCAATATTCAGGAAGTCCCGAACACACCCCAGAAACTTGTGCAGGAGCCTCAGTAGGTCTTCCCCACTGACTTTTCCCAGTACTTCCATTATAATAATATAAAGCACCACTTGTAGGGTCCCTGGATTCGATCTGCATTCTCAAGTTACAGGCAAATATTAACACTATAAACAACACTATTTTAAAAACAAAAGCACAAAAAAGTAACAACATCTATATAGGGTAATTGAAGTGAAAAGCGAGAAGTGTGTACTACTTTGAAGTGAACTAAAGAGGTGCACAACTTATAGATAATTAGAACATACCATACACATGATTTGAGTACTACAATAATCAAATTGTAGTTGTGTTGATTGATATTGATAGCTTTTATAGGAGTAGAATTTCGTATTGAATGTAATTGATTCTGTTATATTATCTTTCTTTTTAGTCTTAGGACTCATCTTATAAGTATCATTCTCATGGTTTATGTATTAATCAAGTCTCAAGAAATATAAAAAGTTTTTTCTTCTTCTTGAAATCGTCATGGTTTATACTAGAAGTACAATCACTTTTTTGACTATTCATTCCGATGTATGGGGTCCTACTCAAAACACTTTCTTTGTCCGGCAATCGATAATTTTTACTTTTATTGATTGTTGCACTAGAATGACATGGGTATATTTGTTATATGCCAAAAGTGAAGTTTTTTCCTATTTTCGATCATTTCATAAGATGACTTGTACTCAGTTCAATACTAAGATAAGATATTTCGAACTGATGATGGCACAGAATACATGGATTAGACTTTTGAAGCTTATTTGGAGTCTTTTGGGATAATCCATCAAACTAGTTGTCTTTATACTAGTGCAGAAAATGGGGCTGCTGAAAGAAAAAATAGGCATTTGTTAGAAGTAGCAAGATTCCTTTTGTTCACCATGAATCTGTCAAAACCTTACTGGGGGATGTCATTCTAGTAGCTGCCTACCTCATCAGAAGAATGCCACTTAAAATCCTCAATTTTCAGAGTCCCTTGGAAACTTTAAAGGGTGAGAATGACTTTACTGTTCCTCTAAAGGTTTTCGGTATTTGCTTTACTGTTCCTCAAAAGGTTTTGGGTGTTTGCTTTACTGATCCTCAGCGTTACACCATCACCTTTTCAGGGGGAGAACTATAAGAAAGAAGATATGGTTTTTCCTAATTCCATTGTTGAAAGTAAAATTAGTGAAAGAATTCAGGGGGGAGACTGTTGGGCATTTGGATAGGCCTGATTTGATAACTTACTCAAGAAGAAATAGAATGGAAGAAGCATAAGAAGCCACCATGCAGTCTGCCGCAGCTAAATCTTCTTCTTCTAGTGAGTTATCTACGTTTCTTAATGAGATAGATACTTCTATTCTTACAGGAAAGGAGTAAGATCTTGCACCAACTACCCTTTATCTATTTGTTTCCTATAATTCTTTATCTCCCTCCTATAGAGTATTTGTCTTGCCACATTCTTTTTATGAAGTAAGCGGTATTGATAAAAGGCATCAAGAAGATGCAAGATTACAAGATGTGGCATTGGAGCTTAAAAAAATCTCTGGCTGACCGTACAAACTATCTGAGCCAGAACTAGTGAGCTAACAAAGTCCTAAAATTATGATGCATAAACCACAGGATACAGACTGAACCAACTAAACAAACTGACAAAACACTAGCTTCAAAATACCTACAGAAATTGACTCCTCATCAAAACATCTCTTATTCTTTTCTAACCAGATACACTAAAAATACAAGAAGGGATCATGATACAGATTTTCTTAATGGCTTTGTCAAGAAATTGAAAGAACTAGAGAGTACAAATGCTCTAATAGCCCAAATATTAGTAAGTATATAAATGAGAGAGATATTCTATTGAAGCTTTAACAGAATCATAAGCTAAAATTCCGTAATTCTATTCAGGTATTCTGGCACAAAAAGCAATCAATAAAGACCTTCAAAAGGAAAGCTTAAGCCGCGTATATTAATCCATAACTCACCCATCCCACAGGCAAAGTGGCATCTGATGTCTTTGGTAATTGTGCCTTTGAGCTCTGAAATGTGCAGATTTTATTTCAGAAGAGAGTTGTCAGGAACATTTCATTTTCAAGAGACTAAAAGTATGAGGAGAACAAAAGGATAATGAGAAATGAGTTCTTTTTTTAAAAAAAACTAATGAGGAATGAGTTCTTGAAAACAGAGTTTACTAAGAATTGACAACAAGTACTTCATTAAAAAAAACTGACAACAAGTATCTCATAAGAAATAAGAACCAATAAAAAAAGAAAGAAATTTTGGTTTATCACAAAAGTCAGAAGACAAAGGAAGTCAAATTCAAGACTCTAGTAAGGCAGAACCATCTGAAATATGTGAAAATTTAAACAGGGACTAGGAAGACAGTATATAATGCATAACTAGCTTACATTGATTGCTATGCCATGGTTCTCTATTTTTGAATCATCTTTAAGAATACCTCGAGCCTTCAACTTCTTCTTGAGGTATTCAGGTAATTCTTTACCAGAATTATGTTCGGAACCCCCATTAGTCTCTGAACAGAAAAAGCAAAAAACAAATAACTCAAAGAATCTAATATAGAATTTTGAACAAGATGATAAACAAGTTGCCCATAGAACAGGAAGCCAGTCTTACTGGAGATCGAGTCATCGGTATTTGAGGCACTGTAATAAGCACCTCCACCTGGCACTCCATATCCATTTCCAATTTCCACATTACCTGGCAAAGGAGAAATTTAACCATTTCTCATCCTGTTGTAATAACATGAAAATTTGAAGCCAGATTAAACTAACTCGTAATATGGTAACTGAAAAGGATTTTATCCATCTAGAATTTTTTAACACCTCTATTCAAATTTCATAATATGGTTCTATAACATAACATTTTGTGAAGATGGAAAGAAGCAACCTGTCTCCCTTGTACATGTTATTCTTCCTCAAAATGGGTGATATTTGAGCAAAAATTCCAGAATTAATTGGTCCTTTAATGTCTTTTTGATGCCTACAAGGAGAACTATTTTGATAAAAGTAGTGTCTATACTACAAACTGTATAAAGAACAAAAACAGAAGTTCGAATTTTCTGCTATAACTCATGTATGAGCAGATCTAATGAAATAAAAGTGTTTTATAAAGCCATGCCAGAATTAAAAGCCCTGTCTATTTTGGTAACACATTACTCTAGTCTTTCATACTTAGATCTAGATTCCAGATTGTTCAGATTTTAGGCCAACTCTATGTTTGTTCAATTTAGGGAAGAGATGGAGTGAGAAATATCTATACCTATCTTTGACCCTACCTCTTCTCAGAGTCAATTTAACAAAAATATAATTTCACCATATATAAACATAGCAAGGTCAACTATGAAGTTTTTCAAGTCCTAAATTCTGCCGAACAAGAAATATGATCTGCTATATACAACATTTAAATCATTATGATAATAGCACCAATCTTTTTTTAATTTTTTTTTTTTTTTGAAAATGGTAATGTTGTATTCTTCAGCATTAAGGATATGCTGGTGGCCTGCAAACAGAGGGGAACAAAAGAAGAGAGAAAAAATACTTACAAGGATCCTAATAATTCTACAATCTATAACTTCCTTTTATAAGATAAAGTAGAGTATTAATAAGAGAGCCCTAGGTCTGAGTTGCAAAGAACTCAAATAGAACTATTAAAAGCAAATCAACTGATCATGATAACAGACATCGTTGACATGATTATAAAACGAAAATCAAAAACTCCTCCAATGAGTTAAGCTGTTGTGGAATTACATTTTCTCCAAATAACAACCAGATTTTACATTAGTCTAGATTAGCTTACTCGCTGTAAGCTAATATCCCATGAACTATGTCATGATTATTGTTTCAATATGTTAGAAAGAATGTAAAGTTTCTTTTCAATGTTCATCATATTAACAGTAAACCTGATTGGACCTTGTTCTAAAAGTCATGTGCTATCCAAAAACATAAACCTAACCAATATTAGATTCGCAAATAAGAGGCAAAATTAGAAGGTAAAGCAGTCCAATCAACAATTTCAACTTTTAGTAATGTCCTTAATTTAATGATATGACCAAAAAAAAACTAAAACTGAATTGATATTACAACTTTGACCCTAATCCAAGGATATTTAAGTGTCACTAGACTATCGCCTAATCCATGCCTTTCTGATGGATGTTTTTGGGAGGAGTGGGCATGCACGTACTATCGAAACAGCAATTCAAACTTTACTTTTTACGACAATGGTGTCGAGATCAACTCTCGCACATCTTAACCATTGCACAGGATACCTACTAGGCTGCTACTTCCCACCAGCACAAGCATAGGGTAACTTTGCCACCGAGACTTGAATATATGGGAAGAAATCACCTAGCGTGTTTTTGCCTACACTGGGATTTAAATCAGAGACCTCATAGTTCTCCACCCACTCCATTGACCACTCGGCCACACCCTTGGGTGCTGAACGTGTACACAAACACAGACTAAGTTTACAGTCTAGTAAGATTTAAAGTTTTTCCCACCAATTTGCAAGAAACTTTCTATGTGATAAGTCACACATTACGATCTAGGATGTCAACTTGTTCCTAATTCAACTATATGGCAATTAAACAGAAGCATGTCCATCACAACCATCATTTTATCAAGGGACACCGATTAATAGGTGTCAAACACAAATACATATGATATTCGTCTAATGTGAAACAATTTTTTAACTGAAGTTTTGGTACTTCAAACATACTAATGCTAATACCCAATATTCAATTAATGGGTCTGATATAATATTCAACAGAACTAGTTGGTTGAAAGGTGAAGGAGCAAAAGATAAAGTTAACTCATTTTTCAGGTCAAAAAGTCACAATAAACCTACGTAAAGTTACCTCTCTTGCCATTATGAGCTCTTCCCCAACAAAAATCAGTCAAAGTTAGCACATTAAAATAGGTCAAAAGAATGAGGATCATCCAGACAAAGTGAAAAGGCATTAACACATTCATCTTGTTCACTTTCTGGGCTTTCATAGACCGCAAATAAGTATATAAAATCTATGTTAGTGAGGGAAGAGATAGGACTTTTTTCAATGCACTACTAGAAAAATTTAAAGGGCATTCCTTTGGCCAATAACATGTACATTTCAAAGGAAATTCATTGGTAACATGTACATTATAGTTGTTTCATAGCTTGGAAAAATATTAAAAGTGGAAAAGAAAAGGTTTTGACAACATGTATTGCCTGTTTTGATTTGTGACATCATTAAAAGGATATCAACTGTTCCATATAAATTGCAGTAAGATACCTACCTTGCTCAGGCTGTGCAGACTTTCCACGCTTTAAGGACATTTGTACACGATGGTCTGCCGTCATTTGGAGTAAATGCTCCTATAAATTGCAGTTAACAGATGATATAGTAAGGCCAACTAGAAAATGTGCTACCATGAGAAACATCACAAGAAAAGGTAACAAAGAGTCCAAGAGACTGAAAACACCTTTAAAGCATTTGGGTCATGACGACCAGAGAAAATATCCGAATTATCCTTAGGTCCACTTGCATCTCTTGCTTCTCTGGATTTAAGAAGTGAAATGTCATAAAACATTCATTCCTCTTGTCTAGTTTCAGCTTGAATAAAGTTAAAAATAAAAGCCAAATAAAACAAACCTTTGGCTTTGAATTACTTTTTGTGCAGAAATTTCCTGTGCAAGGCAAACAAATAATCTAGATCAATAAATGAAGAAATAAATAAAGCACCTATCAAAAGGGTACAAGAAACCTGTTCATGCAAAACAGCATTCTGAGCAGCGCTCTCAAGATCATTAGCACTTCGCGGCTGTAAAGTATTGAGTATAGCCTCAGAAGAGTCGTGTTGAGAGGTATGAAAAGATTCAGAGCAAGGTTGAACAGAAGCAACCACAGGGAAAAGATTTCCATCGCCATTGCCAGCAAGGTAACGAGTTTTCTGAAAGGACTGGGGCAAATGTCCAGCAGGATTCAAAGTTGGCACAAGTGGTGAAGAATATGACGTAGAAAGAACCCCAGGTGGAAGAGGCTGTTCAGTAAGGTCATCCATAAGCTTCAAATATAAAATGTAACTTTTTGGAATTTCGAAGGGCTAAATATTAATCTGATACCGGATCTGGCCGAGAATCAGTCCACCTGCATACAGAAGTCTTGGAAGCATGAGTTAAATTAACAAATATTATAGGTATACAAGTGAGATAAGGATCCATAGTAGGTCATAACTGGAAAAAAATAAGAAAATAGATAGCTTTGGGAGAAGTAATACAATTTAGGATTCCATTTTTGAGAAGAAAGGAAAATATCTGTAACCCATTTTTCTTTCTTTTCCCCAAGTGGGGAAAATTTGAGAACCCGTTCACAATTCTACAAATTCCTAGAAGACATGGTATCAACTGCTCATACTATAGATTTCCATCCTAAAACTCTGAAAGCAGCAAACAAAATGGAATCCCTCAATAATTTAAACATTCAAACTCATGTAAGCAACTGTGTTCTAGGGATTTCTATTTACCTCAGTACTCTGTTCCACTTCTTCTCCCCCTAATACCTTCTCATCAACCCCTAAATTAGAATATTGATCCTACTCATACATGATCAAATGGCTACTACTGCACACATAGAGCATACATATCTAATATCTACCAATTGCAAATTCATAGTCGGAATTTCATCAACACCACAACCACGGTCTATGAAATAACAATTTATAATTGGATGAATATTATGCAAGTCTCACCTCAATTTGCTTACAACTTGTGTTGATTCAGCTTAGCTTTTTCGAAGAAGCTGTGTTGTTATCAATGGCAGAGGCAGGTCGAATTGAAAAAGTATAAAATTATATTAAAAGTAAAAATAGATAAGTATAATCTATGAATATGAAAAATAAAAGGGGCAACTATAATATATAGCAAACAAAAAATTTATATTTGTATGTTATATCAAAGTTTATATAATTGCATTCCGCAGTAAATATAAAACTGTATAATTCGCTATACATATACAATTGTATAATTCGCTGGCCTATTTCGCTGCAAATATTGTATAATTCGCAATCCTATTTCATTGCGATTCTATAACGTACAATTGTATAGTTCGCTACCTATTTCGCTGTAATATTTTTAAAAAAATTATTTTGCATACAGTTGAATCGAATTAAAATGTATGTATAGAAACACAATATATACACTTGTGTTGTATAAAACTAGAGAAAATTGTATTTCACTGCAATTGTATAATTCGTTGGCCTTTTTCTCTGCAATATTTGAAGTAAAATATTTATAAATTGTATAATTAAGTGTATAACACGAAGATATATATTTTTGCATGTGTATATACAATTTTCTCTCGCTTTATACAAAACAGAAACATAATTTATACACTTCTGTGTATAAAGTGAGAGAGGCGAGCGAGATTTTTTTGAGAGAGACGCCTGACAATCTTTAGCTAACGTTTATTATGGAGCACAATTAAACCAAACTCTAGCTACTTCATTTATTTTAGGTTATTAGTTTGATATTATATATCATTTTTCCCAAAATAAAAATAGTATCTATATTATCTATTGTTTTTTATCATTAAAAAAATAGTAATTACTTTCACATATTTTTCTTATTCTCATACTTTGGTTTGGATTTGTTTCAAGTGGTGAGGTCTAAGAAAATATTTGAATAAAAAAATTCTACTTATATATAGGAATCATTAGACAGAGAAAATAAGTATACTTAAAGAAATATTTTTCAAATAATTTAAATCAATTATACAACAAAATTAAATATTATTTTTTAAAATATTTTTATCGTATCAAACGCACAATATTCCTACGTATATACGTAGAGAATGCAATTGGGGAATATCTATGGAGTATGGACTATCCATCTTTTACGATGGATAATATTTTAATGAATTCAAAAAAAATTAATCATCTTAATCAAGTCTAAAATTTTATAATTATAAATCCATCAAATTAAAATGACCCAAACAAATTTCTTATACATCACATATGAATTATAGTAAAACTTCATTGTACCAATACTAGACATCCTTAATTAGTTACAATCAATAGATCCTTAAGATGCATATAATTAAAGTTTACATGCTTTCTATATATAGCTTCTAAATATGCCAAAGGAAATGTAGAATTAATTATCCCCAGCAATTGCAGCTCCTCCTCATCAATCTACAAATTATGTTTTTCAAAAAAACATTAGTACGTACATAATAATAAAACTATAGTGAATATATTTCAACAGTCCCTATATGATTGAAACAAGGCTTTTCTAATCAAAATTTTATGTGCTATATATATAGTAAGTCCCACAAATAATTAAGCTCAAGAAAAAAAAACTGCAAATCATGGAAAGAATTTTTATAGTACCGTTTAATTCGCTGACTAATTTATTTCACATATGCTAAAATACTTCAAGTTGAATGAAATAAGATTGAGATATCTCGTGTATTCTTACCGTAGGTAGAGGGAGTAAAAGGGTGAGAAGTTTGAAGGTGATATGCTGAAGAATTACTTGTAGTACCAAGTTGGTGTTGATCTCCAAAGAATGAAAATTGAGACAACAATGGTTGTTCTCCAAGTAAATTCAGTTCAGTAATTGCTGCTTCTTCTTGTTGCTCCATCATTGCTACTGGCTGTTGCTTGTACATTTCATACTTCATCAACTAATTTCACATGCAATAGCAAATCCAATATTTATAAATACTTACTTATTATATTTAAAAATGCATGTAAATATAATCGATCATTCCAATAGATATTTATATATGAAATGAAATAACAGTCTAGCTTATTGGTACATTCAATAAAATTCTACTTTTTATACGTTTAATTAATTGATTCATTCATATATGTTTCAGAATACATGTTTGACCAAACTTTTACCATATAAAAAAGAGTAATTAATTAAGTCAAATAATTAACGTGCGATAAATTAAAGACTTACCCACTGACACATATCATGATTTTCTTTCTCCAACATTTTCTCCTGCCACATTTTTTTAAAAAAAATTGAATAAATCATATATATTTTTATTTATTAAGAAAAATAAATAAATAAAATATTACTGTTCTCTTCAGGTTTTCCATCTGCTGTTGCAAGAGTTCAAGCTGCAACCATTGTAAAATTAGGGAAATTGAACTCTCACTAATATATATTATATCAATAAACATAATTTATTAATTTAAATTAAAAAGAAATAAATTAACTATCGATTAAAATGTACCTTTCTGGCTCTAATTTTGTTAATAGAATTTTCAAGCTGCTTCTCAAGTTCATTTAATTCATCATATTGTGCTGAGTTCAATTCATCACCTTTGTATCTTTGAAGACTTAATTCAAGATTCAATGTTTCTCTTTTCATTTTTGTTATTTCATCATATTGTTCCACCTATAATTAAAATTTTATAAATTCAATGTTCCAATAGTCAAATAATTATTTTATTTTAAAAAAAAATAAGTACAAAATTTTGTGATCATACCCTATGATCATGAATTGGAAGTGAGGCACCAGTAGTTTGGAGATACTTATTAATGATTTCACCCATGCTGTGAGGTTAATAAAAAAATACAAAATCAAATAGAGCATTAATTTGTTACTAATTAAAAAGAATATAGAATTTAATTAACAACCAAAACAAAAAAAAAACTCATTTAATTAGGAGGGGGGCCTAATCTAACTCATTAGGATGTTATGTAATATAATAAAAGAAGGATTAATATAATTAATTAATTCCTTAATGGAAATTAATGATTCTATGAGAACATCACTTTTCTTAGAACTATAGTAAGATTTAAATATAATAAAAAGAAGCATTAAAACAAAAGAAAAATAAGAAATTTATTACACTTCAAAGAAACCCTAATATATTTCATAACTTAATCTCTTAGGCACTTTGAGTTAATTGGTCAACATAAACACTAACCTAAATTATAACAATAATAAATTCAGTATAATCGAACGTATTAAAAAAAAAACCTGTGAGGTTGAGTGGTGTACTCAAACAATTTGCCTTTGGTTGAGAAAATGATGAGTCCAATTTGAGCATCACAAAGAACAGAAAGTTCATGTGTTTTCTTCAAAAGTCCAGCTCTTCTCTTTGAGAAAGTAACTTGTCTACTTGTTTTGTTCTCAATTCTCTTCACTTCTATCTTTCCTCTCCCCATTATATTTATTTATTATTATTGTTATCACCTATATAATAATAACAAATATTAATTAATGAAAGTACATGCATGCATGCATCATCAAATTAGAAAAAAATATGGATTTTAATGGAGAAACGAAAAAATTCCTTTCTTAAAAGTTTAAAAGACAAATATTGTTTGTTAATTTCCTTGAAATTTGCACAAAAGCATGTATAGAAACAAGATCCAAAAGTGAGAAATGGTTAATTTTGATGAGTTATTAATATATGGAAGAATTAGTAGAGGAGATAAAAAGGAAAATAAAGAGTTTACCTTTGTTCTTCTTCTTGTGTTTTTTTTTCCCAGGATGGCTTTCTGATTTGGGTAGAAGGTAGAGTGTGTATATATATATATACTTCTCAATTTTCCATACTTTCTTTAAAAACTCAGTGTGATGAAAAAATAAAAACTACTCCGGTTTAGTTTATTTATCTGATTTTTTATTTAACGTAGAGTCTAAAAAAATAAGAAACTAACGATATATATAGAGAGAAAGAATATACTAAAATATTTTTTAATCTTATGATCTTAAACATGTCAAATAGAGAATTAAAATTTAAAAATTTTCAAAAATAGAAAAAACTTTTTACACAAACTAAATAATAATAATAATAATCTTTCTTCGTGCCCGCAAAAAACACCTATATCCTGATTTGGGTTCTTTTGGAATAAGATAAGATCCATGGACTTTTGCACATTGAGAATGTAAAAGGTTTTATCCTATCAATCGACTATTTGCGTAATCACTAAATTTGTGAGAATTAGTCAAGTGATCACTTTACTATACAAGTTATACACATTATAATAAATTGACACAACTATAATTTTTTGTTACAATTATTAGTGTGTGTATATGTATAAGTAAAAATCTTTCTAAAAAAAAATTGCAACTTTCTGCTAATTTTCACACATATATGATACGTGAGAAAACTCTTTAGTTGTAATTTCTCACGACATATAGTAAAGGTGGTGTTCATAGAAAATTATGTGAATTTTATAAGTTAAAAATTATTTCTCGTACATATATATATTGCAAATCTTGAATATTTCTTAACGAAATATCTAAAGTTGCACTATTTATTATATATATACATGTATATAGATATCCAAAGTGCATGTGTAATTTCTTTTATATTATTGTTAAGAACAGAAGATGAATATTATTATTATTATCATCATTATTATATAATATAAAGTAGTAATTGATGTTGTTGTTGACGCATAACCACCACTGACAACTTATTTTATGAACCCTCCTTGTAGAAATAATGCTACCAAATATTCTTGTGTATTTCCAATTAGGGTTTCTTGGGATAGTGATCATAATTCTAGACTTAACTCAAAATAGAAAGTGAAGAAGGTCTCTCATGAGTTCCCTTTTTTCTTTGTTCTTCTCTCAAAAGGACAAGACAAATCAAATTGTTTTTTTTTTAATTTCTTGTTTGATGTTTGGTATCACATTAAGATGTTCTACACGATTAAATTTGAGTTCTCACCGGAAAGCCTTATATTGGAAGGTCATGAAGGCGTAAATTACATCCTAACAAATGTAATTATATATTTAGGGACTTGAATTCAAGACTTAACTTTTAACTTTTTTTTTGTTGTTCTCTCTAATGGACAAGATAAATTGTTTTTTTTCTTCTTATTTCTCATTTGATGTTCAGTATTCATATTGAAATCGCAATAAAAAGTTTCACGTGATTAAATTTAAGTTCGTGCTTTCCAATCTTATATTAAAGGGTAAAAGCGTAAAGACTTTTTAACAAATGTGATTTTTTATTTTGAAGGACTTTAATTCGAGAGATTTGATTAATATGTTGCCATCTACTAGTAGTAGTATTCTTCCACACTTCACATGCACAAGACCAGTGATCACTCTTTTTTCCATTAATTTCTTTTGTTTTTTTTTTCATTACCTACTTTGGGGGTTGTGGGGTGGGGGTGGCGCAGAGAAATAACAAACATAGTTTGACCAAATTATTTACTTCCAATCCAAAGTTTCAATTCAAGTGAGAACTGTTTGATTAAACGCGCAACTTAAAAAAAGAAAAAAGAATTTAGAAACATGTATTTTTATTTATTCAATATTTTATTTTTATTTTTATTTATCACTTTTAATATGTATTTATTATTTTCCTATTAACTATTAAATTATGATAAATTGTTCGTATTAAAACATTGTTCCTTTAAAAGCATGCAAAGTTCAAAGTAAAAATAAACAAAGAGTATGTAAAAGGAATTTTAAGCATTTGTATGATCATAAATTATCGGAGGAGAATACAGCCATAGTATAAAGAAAAGGTCAGTGTTATAATATCTAATCATTTTTTTCTAAAATTATCAAATATGGCTAGTAATTAGAGCTGGTCAAGCTCACAAACTCTTGCAAAACTTTTAGGGGTTGACTAAGATGTTGATATCCCCTCGCAGGTTAGTAAGAAGTCAGTCTTGTTTGGTAAGATAGAATTAAACAAAAAAAAGAAAATACTCAATCGAAACAATAATCAACAAAGGCGAAATAACTTTTATTCTTCGTAGGATAGGAAATAAAATATAGGATACATCACTCTTTTTAAATTTTATTTTATAAATCTATGTATCACTGAGTATGTTATTGTTGTTGACCTAGATGATAATATATATATATATATATATGGCCTCTTCATAATTTATTGTTGATATGGTAATGTACATGAATTAGCTTTTGAATTGGTGGGTACAAAGAAAATGCTCTGCAAAAGTACTCTGAAATTCACCACATGGGACAGCTTAAATTTCCTATTTCAATTTCTTCCTTTTTTTAGTTTTAATTTTCAAATAATAGTTCTAATAAGATTGCCCCTTTTGTAGTTTCTTCTTTATTATGTTTAAGTGCTTATTTCTTGACTTCATGCTTTGCTCATCTTTCTTTTGTAAATTTTCGGTTATTAACCGATAAAAATGATCTTTAGCGATAATAAATTAGTTATCATTGAATATATATTTTTAATGATGGTTAGTATTTTTTTCATAAATGTCCTTAACAGCTTATAGTGATATTTGATCCAATCATAACTAAACAAATTTTTACTTTTTAGCCATATGCAATTGTCAATTTCTTATTTTCTAATATATCATATATGTTTCTAATAAGAACCGTTTATCACTAGAAACCATCCAATAAAAGAAAACTTTGTGATTAATTCTTTACAGTATAATTTGTGTATAATCACACTAGGCGGGTGTTTTTCTATATATATTTTAAATCAATCTGACTAAAAATGTACATTAAAACATTTGATAGATTGACAAACAATTCATACAAATAAAGATAACATAGGTATATAAATGGCCAATGGTGGAGTTGTGCAGAAAGAATAAAATTAAAGTATATATGATGATTATATTTGAGGTACAGACAGGTAGTTTGATGTCAATTCCAAATAACCCTTTTACCAAAATAATGAGTAAATGCAGTTTCCACATGGTTAGCAGTCCCAACTATTTTTGGCTACTAATTAATTACTCCTTACTATATTAAACCAAAATTTAAGTAACTGATCTCTTTAATATCTAATCTCTACCATTCAATATTAGCAATCATAGAGGAGAGAGTGAGATCAATGTGTATTGTATGAGGAAGATTATATTGTGGTGGCCAATGAAGTAGGTGGTTGAAGAAAATACTAAGTGTTTGATCTAAACTATACATTAATGTTTAGAACTTAATGTAAGTAGTTCATATATTAAGTAAACGAACGAACAATACAAAATATTTCAATCTTGTAGAATCTTGAGTAAATTTCCATCAATCAACTGATCAGACTTTGAACTTGCGGACCTATGAGAAACTGGAATCAGAAAAGTGAAAAACGTCTTGTTCTAGAAAATAATCCTGCATTTATCCAACCCAGAAAAATACTAAAAAGTTCGATGACGACCGAATTTTAGCTGGTAACAGAATGAACCAAGGAAGAGAGCAATTTCCAGTCCATAAATAAAACTAGCATCAAAATGCCCAACAGCAGAGACCCTAGCTGCCAATAAGACATCAATTTTCTAATGTTTTGCCTTAACTAAATGTGCCTTTCAGCTGTGACTTCAAAAATACGAGACTCAGGTTTCTTATGGGTAACGCGCCAAGATAACTATATATAATTACAGAACTAGAAAACAGGGGCAATGCAAGAGGCAGAAATTGCATCATGTCAGCTGTTCAAAGCCGGAGGTCGAAACATTATTTGGTTTTGGAGTAGGACAACCAGTATGCTTGTTGGTTTTGTTCTTCTCCTCTGCCTGTGTGGAAGTCAATTTCTCGCTGTGAAACAAACTTTCACCCAATTCTGACTCATGTTTCCTCTTCACTTTCTTTTTTGGCACCGCATCTGCTCCTCGTGGATCAACAGAGCTGCCAGAAACTCCCTTTAGCTTCTCCTGCTTTAGACGATTCACATCAGAACCATTAGCTATGGAAACATGCACTCGTGCAGAAGCATTTACAGCTGCACTACTGTATACTGGCTTGTTTGTTGAAGTTGAAGAATGATCAACTACAATCTTTTCTTGGATATGCACCGACTGGGCAATAGGTCCAGCATCTACTCTACTAGTATCCCCTTCCTTTGTGGCCAATAATTTGTTCCTCCTAATTTTCTCTCCGTCCTACATAAAAAAACCAAATGAACCTTTTTACCCATTGTAAAAGCTACAGAAAGCATTTAGGCACAGGTTTGAAACTGCATTTTAGTGTAATACACTGAGAGATGACGAAGAGAACAACTAAGGAGTGATTACTATGTGAAATTTAATTTCTTAATGGAATCTCAGACACCATCAGAAATAGACCAATAAATCCTATACATTTAACTAAAACAGAGCTCCACTATGAACGCAAGCTCACAATTTAAGAGCTACAAGAAAATGAATAATGAACTAAACAAAGAAAATAAAATAAAGATAAACATGGTATTTTTTACCTTACGTCGTGCGTGCAATGCTCTCCTCCTATCTTTTGCTCTACATATAGCACGTTTAATACCATGATTGTCCATAAATCCATTTGGCCAACATCCTGCAAGCTGCAAGAAAAACAGAACAATGACAGTTAAAAACTAGCCCAGGGAAAACTATGAAGAGTTCGGAAACCCCCAAATGTCAAAGCAGCTCCTAATTCACATTTTGTGGCCAAAATTCTGAACATACATCAGAGCTTAGCAGTGGAAGATTTCTTTTTATGAAAGCTAAGAAGAAAATACACCGATAAGTGACCACCACAATAGAGAACAGACTCTTAGATGCATCCAAAAACTGTTTTCTGATCTAGAGTCTACCTTCAGATACACTTGGAATTTAGTTTGCATCAAGTACAAAAATTTCCAAGATTGCCCAATGGCAAATGAAGTAGA